CTATTTTAGAATTTATTAAACAAAATAAAATTAATTTTTGATTTCAATTTTGCAACTTTTTATTTCTAAGATCTCTTCAATAGCAATCCCCTTTTTCAACTAAAAGATGTTCTTTTGAGTTATTAAGATTATAAAAATATCCTTAATTGCGATTTTGAATATTGGGCAATTCTAATTAATATTTGACTTTATAATAATTATATTTACGATAAAGAACATACTTTTGCTCAAATAGGTGGAATACCGCAAGGACCTTATTTTTCATCACTTTTAGCTAACTTATTTTTACATTAGTATGAAAAAAAAATTATACTATCTTAATACTATTAAATTTGTTTTGTCGTCAATAAATCTAATTTAATTATTTATTGTCTGTTGATTTAACTATCTTTTAATTTTCAACATTATACAATTTTATTAAATAATATTTACCACGTGGAATTAATCTTGCTTCGTAATCATGACGACAATATTAATTTCAATAAAAAAATATCTTCATTGTTGGCTTATACGATAAAAGAAATGTTTTTAAATGTAATATAAATAAACAAATTACATGGAATTCTAATGTTTCTAAAAATATTTATTTAAATACCATTTTTAATCAAATGAATAGAATGGAAAGAATTTGTAGTATTGTTTATATATCCAAAAAATAACTAGGCAAACTCATAAAAACTTTGATAAAAAACAATGGATATCCAACTAATGTAATTAAATTCGATATAAAATCATTGATTTAATTGTATGTTATAATTATTATGAAAATGTTTTTAACTAAATTTATATTTTTACCATGCTCAAATTACTGAGCAAAACCGTGGCTATAAATCGTCTAATATTTAATAAGGAATTTTTTTTTAAATTAAAAATGTTTTTCAAAAAATGTTAATACTTTCTCTAAAAATCATCAAAATTATCATTTTATAATTAAAATTTAACTTTATTCATTATAAATGTTGAATTATTTAGTATTTCATGTTTTATAACCGTCCTTGAAGAGCTGACCCAATTTCGAGTTTACGACTGCCAATGATCAATTCCAAAGCCTTGTAATTTTGAACCCTACTCAGAAGACAAGGGAACTCCTGAATTAAGTATAGGGAGAAATTTTGGCTTCGAGTAGGGCTTTTTGATGGAACTAACCCGCATTTGCGTTACATGGAGAGCATGAAAGTCTCCCATGGTTACCCTGACAGCAAGGGGACTCTAATTCATGATTCGTCTACCACTGAGGATGTTTTACGCCAACCCTGTGGTCAGTGCGAGCCGGGTGCGAAATTCATATTAACCAGCCATTGCATTGATTAGAACGAGGGATATCTCATTGGGAAGCGAGTGCTCTATCCACAGTGACTCCAATTATGCAACGTAATATTTATGCACCTTGCGCACATCCAGTATCGTGCCAATCAAAGGTAATTGACAATTCAAATGCGGTTCTGTACCGCAGTAAGAAAGTATCCTAAAATATTTGCCACTATCCTTTATTTGCGCTTTTATTTTCACACTAGTGGACTTAGCCCGCTGATCGCTAACGCTCGCCAACCCCCGAAAATTGCTACGCAATCTTATATGGTTTGCTTCGCAAACCAAGCTCGCTACTAACTTAGGTACATTGCAAATGCACAAAATTCTAAGAATTCAAAACAATCATTCAAATCCATATAACGCTTTAAAAAAAAACATCTTTTTAGTAAATGCAAAGTTATTAAAATAAATTTGAATTCAAATAAATGACATGTAATTTGTTAAACCTATTAGAAATGTGCTATAGTATGAAATCTTAAAGCGTAACAGCACGACTGAAACTTATTTTTCAATGAATAACTAATAATAATAAAACAAATAAATTCGTGATTTAAATCAAAAATCGTCAAATAAATTCGTAAATTCGTGAGCTTAATTCTATTAATATATAAATTCTCTCTAATTCTCTCTCTGGTTATTTCAGTTTTCATTTTTAAAAGAGCTATATGTTGAGCCACCTCAGCTAGATTTGGCATGTTACATTTTTAGCGGCAATCATTGGTCGATTTTCTAGCGTTGCCATTCGGGGAGTTGTAATGAGGTTTTTTTTGTCGCCGTGTTAGAGAAATATATATATAGATTTTGTAATCAGGCTAACTTATTACAAAAATATTTTAAATCATTTTTGAAAGATGCCGTAAGTGGAAGTATATTTGAATTCACTTCTCGCTACATTTTGTATTTTATTCTGTATTTTTTCTTGAATTTTTAATTTCTATTTTTTGTTTAATATGTTTTATTTTGTATTTTTTGCTTAATATGTTCGATTATGGTTTCAATTTTTTTGGGTGCTTTTCACACTATTGTATTGACATATTTTGCTTTGACTTTTTTAATACAATATTAGAAAGCAGTTTTTTGCGGATATAATCGTGTGAACTGACGATGAGATTATGATTTTTCCTTATTTCGTTTTTCGGCTCTTTAATTTTTTTAAAATCTTTAAATATTTTTTTGAAAATATTTTATTTATCAATAATTTTTCTTTTTTTTAAATATATATATATATATATATATATATATATATATTTGTATTTTTGTTTTTGGGAAAACTGAAAAAAATCTTTTTCTTATGCTAGAAAATCAAGCAATAAGCTTGTAACTTGTATCGAATACTTAAGTTGTTATTTTTAATGACTGCATAAAATTTTGTAAACCTAGAATAAATATTTATGAAGATATGGGCATTTGTATATAAATATTCTTTATAAATATACAATGGAATTAGACAAAATTTTTGGAGCAATTTAAAATTAATTATAAAATTACTGATTTAAAGTTTTAAAAATGATCGTTAAAAACTACGTAAGATTTAAGTAAATGTAGTTCTTTTATACTGCTCATGAGCAGAAAAATTTAAAAAAGTTTTTTTTCCTAATTTTATAGTGAATCGTATTTGACAACTAATGAAAAATGTTTGACTTGAATATCTTAAAAATTTAGAAAGTTTCAAGCAATTTTCAAAGTAGTTTTTGTACTTTTTTAAAGAAAGTTCAAAACGATCAGGGGTTTTCCACAAATTTTATTCTGTGTCATAAGACAAAATTTAATAACAAATGATAATATTTTACAATAATCGTCCACAAACCAAAATTTGATGGTAAGAAAAGAAAATCAGAAAAAGAAAACCTATTTTTTTAGATTGCGTTTGCCTCAGCCCCCCCCCCCATATTAACTAAAGAATAAAAATCTGTCAAAAAAGACATGTTTATTTAGAGAGAGTATGTTTAGTAATTAGTACTCGTTAATTAAACAATTTATATAAAAAGTTAGCAAACATAAACAAGCAAAAACGAAATTCTGAAGTTGTATGTAAGCAAAAACAGCACTTCATCAGGGAACACACTGTTTGCTAACGACACTGACTGCTGATAGATACTGTCAGAAACCAAAATCAGGCAAAAACGAAATTCTAAAGGTAGGTATGATAGCAGAAACAGCGCTTCATGATTGTCTGCTAACAGACACTGTCAGAAAGCAAAAACGAAATTCTAAAGGTCGGTATGTTAGCAAAAACAGCACTTCATCAAGGGACACATTGTCTGCTAACAGACACTGTCAGAAACCAAAAACAAGCAAAAAAGAAAATCTAAAGACAGGCATGTTAGCAAAAACAGTACTTCATCAAAGTTTTTTTCTTAACATTTGCTTAAATCAATATCATACTTTGATTGGATACTCATGAATTAGTAACTTGAGATCAAACATTAAAATTAGCGCTTTGTTCATGAAGTCCGATAATTAGATCAAAAGTTATTTTGGCTGGTATTTCTTTTGCTCACTGTACGCTTTTGTTTATTTTTGCTAAATTCTTGTAGGATTATTGACTGATCCCTACTTCAAATCACTTATAGATCTTAGAGAATATGAGAAAGACAATAGATGTTAAAGAGTTGATACAGGAAAAAGGGGCGGACTATCTCCCGACAGGGGCGCCGAAGAAGACCCGGATTTAATGTTCTCTGAATTAGTTATTCCTTCCTTTTTTAAAGTATTATTTGCTTAAAAGATATATTTATAGGTTATTTTTCATAAATTATGTTTTCGTCGGTTACCTTTTTTAATGGTAAAAATTTCTCTAATAAAAGTTTTGCTAAAGATGGAAAGAAGAGTGCGTAGCAGAGAAACCACTCTCTTGACACTTGTTTACGACAGTCGACGACAAAAATTGTTTATTTTCAAAATAATTTTTAACAAAACAATGTATATCGAGAATGAAATCGCAAAAACAACTGATTTTGAAGAGCCTACAAAACTGTTTGCGACTACTGAAGCATGAAAAAAGAGTAGATTTTAATCTTCATGTTTATATATTTGTATGTCATAAAAGATTATGCTCATTAAAAGTGTTACCTAATTCTAAGATATTAATTAATTCTAAAATACTTGAGGTGATGTTCTGATTAATTAAACTAACGGTGTTCTTTTTTACCCTTGAGTGCATTAATTGTAATTTATTTTGTCCACATGTTTCCCGAATTAACAGTTAGGATTGATTTTGATTTTATAATTATCTGATAGAAATATTGCAATTTAAAATAAAAAAAAGCATTTCTCTACAGCGTTATGACTACACCTACGAGACAATTCAAAGATTTTTTTTCCAACACTGAGTAAATGAGTCTAAAATGTTCATTTAACTCTTTGTGTGAAATGACTCACAGAAGCAACTGAAGACAAGATATCCATTTAACCAATTAAAAGTGTTAACTTACACAGAAGCCTATAATTCACCTTAAATAATTGCTCTGAATACTCATAAATCCCTCTTCCTCTGACGCTCATCTCATCCAATTCTACGAAAAATAACAAATAACTGTAAAAGAAAAATGAATTGGACTCGGGGAGTTTTCTAATTCTCCATGTTAAATGCTCGCTACTAATTATAATTCCTTTTTCTTTGTAGCGAACGGAATTAACAGCAATAAAAAACTACACCAATCATTTCATTTATTTGACTTATTTTCTAGCCTTTGAAATGATAAACGCAAGTTTTATATCTGCTACTGAAGTTTCGTAAAAAATGTCCTCCAGCTGTGGATGATTTAAAAAAAAAGCTTTCATTGACGACAGGTATGTAAAATTTTTATGATCAGTTTAGTTCTATTTGTGTGTTTTGCATGATTTATTCTAACAGAATGCTTTATGAAATAACGTCATACTAAGTTTCTTTAGCGTTTTTAGGCCAGCTATCCATATAAATTTCGAATAACTATTAAAAGAGAAAGACGGTGAAACTACTAATTAAATTTCGTATGCAATTCTTTAGTTATTTCGTATTTATTTATTTGTTTGTTTAAATAAATAATTTAGGACTTTAAATGTATATATAAGCCCGCAGAGATTAAAAGTTGAAAAGGATGTTAAATATTGCAGCACATATTATGTCTAATACTACTGTTACTTTACTATTTTCTATAATAAATTTTTATGAAAGAGTAATTTTTAAAAGTTATGAATTTTGGATTTAGCTTATTTTTAAAAATTTTATGTGTGTCAACGCCAAGTTGAAAAAAAGAAAGGGCATTTTATTTGAAAGTAGAAAAGCAATTTTGAATTAGATAAACATTAATGTGTCTAATTTAAATTATTGAACAATAATTGAATCTAAATTCGTCAAGTTTTTTTAAAAATATGAATCGGATTTATAATAATTTAAATGATATTATTTCAGCAACAGTGTCACAACTTAGGGTGCAAATGACCACTAGCAATAATTGAATTTTAAAAGTTCCATATATTGGAAAGAAAAAAAATAGAATTCATTTTACCTAAGTTGTGGAATAACCAGGAATTTTGCATGAAAATGTATGTGATTAGGCTTTACAATAATAATCAAAATTCATCAAAATAAAAATTCACTAATTTTACTTTGTCGTAGCTTATTTTAATCAAAATGTATTTTTACCAATTAAGTGTAAAATTAAGTTGTTTTACCGATTATCTAGCTAAATGACAAATTAACTAGGGTGATTTGTTAAAGGGCCAAATTTTTTATTCATTTATTAAATAACAAAAATAATTAACCAACTAACTACGCTTAAATTAACGTATTGTTATTTATTTATTTTCGTTATCTAAGGCATCAAATTACCAAAATCAAATAACAAGCACATTAGCTGATAGATAAATCACTTTAAAAAATACCTTTAAAAGAAAAACACAGTTTCAACTATTTACAATCAATGAAATTTCCGTTATGTAATTTATTTGTTTTTCTGTGTCTAAAGAATCATTTGATACAATCAATCAACTAATTAGTTAATAGACTGAAAGATACTTTTGAAAGAGACAGAGACTGCTCTTATACGCACGTGAACTACAGTACCTGGCCAAATTATTAAACGTCCTACAAGATTCTAAGTTAAATCTTAATTATCAGGTGATACTATACAGTTTTATTGTTTTTATGCGACTGAAACTGGTTTGCACTTGTTTACGTTTGTGTTTCAATTGGTTAAAATAGACGATATATAATATAAATTCAGTGATTGGATAAATTAGACGATGTACTATATAAATTTAGATTATATATCAGATATTATATTAGTATACTAGTGGGCTGCGCCCCCTGCTCGCTAACGCTCGCCAACCCCCGAAAATTGCTACGCAATCTATATGGTTTGCTTCGCAAACCAAGCTCGCTACTAACTTAGGTACATTGCAAATGCACAAAATTCTAAGAATTCAAAACAATCATTCTAATCCATATAACAACTTTTTTTAAAAAAAAATTACATCTTTTTAGTAAATAAAGTCATTAAAATAAATTTGAATTCAAATAAATGTCATGTAATTCGTTAAACCTATTAGAAATGTGCTATAGTATAATTCGTGATATAAATCAAGAATCGTCAAATAAATTCGTAATATATAAATTCGTGAAAAAAAGCGCTTTCGACAAAATACTAAAATAGAGATCTATCGACAAAGACTACTCACTTCTGCCTAGGTTATGCTCTCTCTGGTTATTTCAGTTTCCGTTCTTAAAAGCGCTATATGTTGAGCCATCTCAGCTAGATTTGGCATGTGACATTTTTAGCGGCAATCATTGGTCGATTTTCTAGCGTTGCCATTCGGGGAGTTGTAATGAGGCTTTTTTTTGTCGCTGTGTAAGAGAAATATATATATAGATTATAATAATTAGACCAAATGATTAGATGCATTGTAGTGTTTTAATAATTTCATGTTTTGCACGAGTTTATATGCAACACTCTTATATTTAAACATACATGTAATGGGTTTTTATAGAGGAGATTTTTTATGTAGTTCCAATTTGTATTTATTTTTAACGTATTGCATTATAATGTTAACCAATTAATACACGAACGTAAACAAGTGTAAACAGGTTTCAGCCTCGTAAAAACAATAAAGCTGTAGAGTATCACTTGATAATTAAGGTTTAACATAAAATCTACAGTGAGCCTAATAATTTGTCCAGGCACTGTAGGTAGAGAGCGGTAAATTCTTGATTCCGCTCAGTAACGGATCACCCTAACTAAATCTGCTGCAATAACATTCATACTATTTTAAGTTAATGAAGTAAAATCATGGTGGTTTCGGCAGTCATGATAGCTAAGTGGAATGACAATGCATTTTGGTATTTAGTTTATATTTGATATTTACTTTGAAATGTATTGAGCTATGCACAAGTATTTTAGGACGTTTTCTCATAGTTGAGAATGAGCCGTAAGCTCTTGATTAAGCACAGTAACGGATCAACCTAATTAATCTGCAGATTAGCTAGGTAATATGCATATTTACGGATTTCGTGTTTTAGCCATAACATTAATACTATTTTAGTCAACGAAATGATGTTAAATCATGGTGATTTCAGAAGTCATGATAACCAAATAGAACTTTAATCCATTTTAAATAGAAAATTTCATATTAGGTATTTAGTTTAAAATGTATTAAGCTTACTACACAAGCATTTTAGGATGTTCTCTCAGATTATTTAAGAATGAGCAGTAAGCTCTTGATTTAGCACAGTAACGGATCTACCTAATTAATCTGCAGATTAACTTTAATATGCATATTAATGGTTTTCGTGTTTCTGCTGTAACATTTATACTATTTTGAGTGACGAAATTCAGTAAAATCATGATGATTTTGGCAGCCATCATAGCAAAATGGAATTTTAATATATTTCATATTTGGTATTTAGTTTACAATGTACTGAGTTTACTACACAAGCATTTTAGGATGCTCTCTCAGTTTATTTAAGAAGGAGCAGTAAGCTCTTGATTTAGCACAGTAACGGATCTATCTAACTAATCTGCAGATTAACTTTAATATGCATATAAATGGCTTTCGAGCTTCAGCGGTAACATTTATACTATTTTGAGCGACGAAATTAAGTAAAATTATGGTGATTTTGGTCGCTATGATAGCAAAATGGAATTTCAATATATTTCATGTTAGGTATTTAGTTTAAAATGTATTGAGTTTACTACATAAGCATTTTAAGATGTTCTTACATTTTTTTGTTAAGAATGGATGAAAAGCAGAATGGATTAGAAATTTCAGTGAACCACGAACCCCATGAAGAAAATAAAAATGAAGCGAGAAGGGATTTTTGTCATATCGATAAACAGATGGTTCGATTCAAAATCCATTTCTTCTTGTTTTTTGGTGGTAAGAATAATTTTTTTTCCTAGTTTATTTCTGTACAGTTTTAATGTCACAAATAACAGCATCGATATAAAATCACACTCTAAGTGGCTTCTTTATTTCGATCACCTTTCCACATCGCTAATGGTTGAGAATCTTCATGATGTATGGCTCTTTCAACATCATCCCACAAATGCTAAACCGGATTTAGATCTGGAGATTGTGGGGGCCAGAGTGAAGCGACATCACGTTCTTCTAATGCATTAATTTGTTGGAGTGGTATGTTTCTCCACTGAGCATATTCAGGTAGGTAGGTACTTTAGTTACGTCACACTAGAGCTGCACAATGGGCTTTTTGGCGACGGTCTAGGAAGCATCCCTGAGGATGATGAAAAGATATGCCATCGCAATTTTGATTCTCCGCAGAGGGGATGACTCCCCTACTTTGGTAGCCCGACGATCTGCGAGCGAAGTCGAGCACTTTACGGTAGAACAGTTTAACGAGGACCGATACGGTTCATCCTCGGTCCTTACGCAGGTTGATCAAAGTGGTCATCCACCCGCTTACTGAACGCAGCCAGTGATACTTGACTTCTGTGTTCTACTGGGAACCGTGTCTTTACAATCAGTCAACTGCGGGACCTGGGCATATTGAAGTAGCGGAATTAAGTTTCGGTCGCTTGATGGCAACAGGTATATTTTATTTTACGGATAACGTGAGTTATGTTATTGTGTGTGCATGTATTTTTTGGCAGAAGTTGTCACTTCACTATGTCGTTGTGTCCGGGTGATGCATAATGTTCTGAATTTAAGTTCTATTACGATTAATTATTTTTCAGTTGTTTGCTGTATCAAGATTGTACTGTATTTAATTAAAAAAAACTGTTTAAATCTTCGTGCTTTATCATATGACTAACCACATTCACTTAACATCCACTTCCCGCTAACGTAATCATTTCGTGTACTTGTAGATTAAATCATAAACGATTTTCGCACTAAAGAAATGCATTAAAAATATCAATTATGTTGAAATAAATAACTTCAATATTATCTTAAAATGTAATAGGTAAAAGAAATGCTTCAGAACATATGAATTAAGTTGAATTTATTGGCATCAATTTTATTCCGAAAATGTGACTACTGGAAGAAATGCATAGGAAATGTGATTTAGCTTGAATTAAGTCACTTGAATTATACCTTAAAGTGTTGCTGCTAAAAGAAACGCATATAAGCATGTCAATTAAATTGAATTAAATAACAAATTGTACTTACATGTGATAAGGACGTCTTTCTCTCAGAAAGAGCATTCATAATATGATTTAAAAGGTCAAATGCGAATTTTATAGATCATAAAAGACACAACGTGAAAAATTAGATCCAAATCTTTCTCCTCCAAATAAGGAAACCGTACAATTAAAGTCAGTAGTTTGTAGCGCACGCATTCATTGATTAGCAAAATGAATTTAGCTTTTGTTTTAGATGAACAAGCTTTTAAAATAATTTCTTATAAACCACGTTTTTCAATTTTAAATCGTTTTAAAATCAAATTTCGACGAAAATAAAACAATCTTCGAAATTATTTTGGATGTTGATCTAGGTAGAGTCCCTGTATCTAATATAGTTAGAGTGTTCGGTCATAAAGATTACAATCTGCGATTTATTAAGTGCTAAAATTTTACGAGGAGAAGGGAAACAAACATTTACAAAGGGAAAAAAAACATTTACAAAGAAGGGAAACAAATATTACAAACACATACAAAATAGCCGGGATAGCCTGGTTGATAGGGTACTGGCCCCATGTCTAAGAGTTCGTGGGTTCGATCCCCACCGGTCGAAGACTCCCCGTGTTGTAAATGGTGACTGATGCACGTTAAATCTGTCGAATCACTAAGTCCTCCATGTTCCCATAACAAATCAATACCTCTGGGGGTACTGATCCATGAGTTTCCTTGTCTTCTGGATTGGTTCAAAATTACAAGGTTACAGAGTTGAACATTATTAGTCGTAAATCTAAAATTGGGTCTTCTGTTCAGCGACGGATAAATATATCTATAAAAAAACACATACAAAATATCTTTCTTAGACGGATTGTCAAAATCATAGATAACTGACCTTTTCCTGCTTTTAAAATTTAACTTTTCAAAATATCTATTTCACGCGAAAGTATAATGATAAATATAATGTAATATTGTCATATTAATGTTATTTTTTTGAAAGAGCTTTTGAAAACTATGATAGATATACTTGGCATTTTTAAAAAACTATTTATACTCTTATATTTTAAATAAACAAATAATATTTTGATAAAATAGTAGTTTTTTTTTACTAAGTATTATTTCTAGTAGAAAATTTTGGAAACGATCTAAGTATAAAATTACATTTTTTTAGCTTTTATATATTTTTTGTATTTTTAGCTACATTTATAAAAAAGCTGGAGTCAACAATTTACGCAATTTTGGAGTAGTTAGGTTAGTAAAAAAAACGAAACTTATATCGAAAGAGTTGACACGCTCTGGTCACGGAGTACGAAAGCGAAGCTTTGCAGAGACTTCATTAAGTGTGGTAATTGACTCCGAGAGCTTTCACTTTCGGATAATTTTGAGGCTGTTTATTGTTAACTCTCTAGCTAAGTTAGATACAGGGACACTAGATCCAGGTTTATATAGTTAAAAATATTTTGTTCGTACCATATACTGGGAAGAGATTATAGAAAGTAATGGAAGTTATTTATGACTTAACATACTATGTATTAGCCTAGTTAAAAAAATGAGGAAAAAAATCAAATGTACTTATTTTTAATTATTTTTTTTACAGCAATGGGAACCATGTTGCCTTATGTGCCCCTTGTTGCAAAGGATAGAATTGGAATCTCGGCAACATCTCTTGCAACAGTCTTAACAGTTCTCCTTTTTAGTACTGTACTGACTAAAACAGTTCTAGGATACATAGCTGATTATTTCAAGCGAATCAAAGTTATGATGAGTGTGCTAATCATTTTACATTGTCTGTTTTTCTTAACTCTTCTTATCATCCCACCAGTCAAAAAATTCGACAGAAATGCACAAAATTTGACTCTTTCGAATTATTTCCAGGCATATGAAAATGAAACCGAATTCACTTTTGTTTCAATGAAAAGAACAGGCTGTGATGCATCAGATAATCTTCCAACAGATTTTAATGCACAATTCGAAGATAAAAGACACCAGGACGTTTTTTGTTTCAAACCAAGTAACGTAACTATAATGTTTATTTGTTTTCAATCAAGTAATGACTCACGTGAGGCAGAGATGGCGCTCCAAACACTGATGAACTTTTGTTGTTCGATATATACTTCAAAGTTAGAACAATTTTACACTGCATTGAAGACTGTAGAAAACAATTTTCATTTCGCATCTCTTGAACTTGGAATGGCAAATACTAATTCCAATATGAGTTCTCATTGCTCAGTGAAGTTTTTTGACAAATTTCCAGAATCTTCCGGGCAAGAGTCTGGAGTAAATGATTTCCAGACATATCAGTTTTGGCTCTATTCTGCTTTTATGATTTTGGCTGGTAATTGTGCTAGCTCTGCATTCACTTTTTCAGATACCATTTGTTGTGAGAGTGTAAAAAAGTACAAAAGAGATTTTGGTCGCCAAAGGATTTATTCTGCCATTAGCTGGGGTCTTCTAGCTCCTGCAGGAGGACTTATATGCGATCTTACTAATGATTTTTATGCAACATGGATATTCATGGCGTCTTTGCAATGTATTACTCTTTGGAATTTATTTAAAATGGACCTTGTGATTCCCCAGTTTTCTCAAAATCTAGCAAAAGATGTTGGAAAAGTTCTAAAATCGCCATCGTTTCTAGCATTCAATATTAGTGTTCTTATAAATGGAATATGGTCTGGTATAATATGGTATTATCTTGTGTGGTTTATTTCTTCATTGGGAGCTAGTACCTTCCTTTGCGGCTTAATCCCTTACGTACAATGCTTTGCCGGTGAATTGCCAATTATGTTCTTTTCTGGCTGGATTATAGAGAAAATTGGACATTTTAATTCTCTCACTTTATCTCTTTTGTCTTATGCTGTTCGATTTTTGTGGTACAGCTACCTGCAAAATCCGTGGCTTGTTCTTCCTATTGAAATCGTCCACGGTTTCACTTATGGATTATTTTATCCCACTGTGGCATCGTTTGGAAAACTTAGCGCCAGGACCGGAACAGAAGCAACAACCCAGTCAATTCTGTTCTCAACACATGAGGGATTAGGTAAGAAACAATTATGAGAGAGTGATGAGTTTTAATAATCTTTAGTGCTATTTTTTAAAACTGTTTCTTAAGCTTAGGGGGAAAAAAGTAACGACCAAAGGAAAGGTAATATTTAAGGTTTTTTCTTTTGGAAAAGAGTAAATCATGCTTATTTGTAAACATGGGGAAGTGAAATGAGCTTACGATTGACAAAATTTAAGCAGAAATTATTTAAAAAATAATGAATCTCAGTTATCTATATTTCTTTAATTAAAACTATTTTAAATTTTTGACACTGTATATCTAAACTGTGAAGTTTTATTCTTCAACACGCTTTCACAAAATTTTATTTTCTATTGAGTTTTCAAACATATTCATAAAAAACAAATAAGTACTTAATAATTGCCACAATTAACCGACCTGGTAACTGGCAGAGAAAATAGAATGCTTCCACATTTAAATTTTTAAAAAAATAAATAAATAAAAAAGCAATTTTTTTCAACAATAAATTTGAAGGAGTTATGCAATGGAACGTAGAGAAACTAAAGCTCGAAGTTGTTAACATTTTACTTGAAGAAAATTTTAACGAACAAATAAATTATAGGAGAGCAGTTAATCTAATTAAAACAAATAATTTACAAACTAATGGTAAAATTAACGTAGAAGAAAAGTGATTGGTATTTTTCAGAAGAAAAAAAAATCGAGTGTGAAACCATTTAAAAAAAAAAAAAAGAAGAAAAAATTGTGATTGTTTTATTACGATCACTGGTTTTCCATTGGTCGAATGCTTTTTTTTTTCTGGTTCTACTTCGATGAACGCCACAACATTTCAAATCATGGGTTGCAAAAACTATCTCAATTGATGTTTGTCTTCGGATTGGTTTTCAAATCCTGCCTATATACGTGTTTCAAGACGTCACAAAATACTTTTCCTTTTTCAGTATTCATATTTATATTAAAATCACCGTCAAGATAGTAATTTTAAGTTAAGAATAAAAAGATATAAAAATCTAATATATATAATTCTCTTACGTGGCTCCCAAATTTTGGCTGTATTTCTTTTCCGCTGGTGGCAACGTTTGCTTTGTTTTGTTCACGCTACTATTTCTCTTACACGGCGACAAAAAAAGCCTCATTACAACTCCCCGAATGGCAACGCTAGAAAATCGACCAATGATTGATGCTAAAAATGTCACATGCCAAATCTAGCTGAGGTGGCTCAACATATAGCGCTTTCAAAAACGAAAACTGAAATAACCAGAGAGCATCAGCTGCGACAATCTCATACTATTAAGCTAGGCAGAAGTGAGTAGTCTTTGTCGATAGATCTCTATTTTAGTATTTTGTCGAAAGCTCTTTTTTTCACGAATTTATATATTACGAATTTATTTGACGATTTTTGATTTATATCACGAATTATACTATAGCACATTTCTATTAGGTTTAACGAATTACATGTCATTTATTTGAAATCAAATTTATTTGAATGACTTAGTATTTACTGAAAAGTTTTTATATGGATTTGAATGATTGTTTTGAATTCTTAGAATTTTGTGCATTTGCAATGTACCTAAGTTAGTAGCGAGCGAAGCGAGCTTGGCTTGCGAAGCAAACCATATAAGATCGCGTAGCAATTTTCGGGGGTTGGCGAGCGTTAGCGAGCCGGGGGTCGCAGCCCACTAGTACTTTAAATTATTATGTAAAAACATTAAAAATGACTGCTGGTGAGAATAAAAAAAGAATTATAAAAAAAGTTATCAAACAGCAGCGATCGCCATAGCAACCCACGCAGGCGCACTGTTTACTATTACTCTTGAACATAGTTGAAAAGTGTGATGACGTCCAAATAAATTGCGCACGCTGTAAAACCCAAAACAAGACCCATTTTGCCAATTGGTAGTAATAAAAAAAAACTTCTCTGGTTACCTACCCAATCTGGTTACCTACCCAATATAAATTAAACGGTTTCACTCTCAAGAAATTTGTTTAAGTCTTCCTCTGTAAGTTTTTCTCGTGGCGGTAGTTCGAGAAAATAACATATTTTGAAAAAAAAAAAATCATTTATTCTATCCGACTTTCTAAACAGTCAGTCGTATAATTACTAAATATATCAGAGACTTTTTGTTTAACTCCAACTAAAAGGTAAAAATTTCTTTTGCAGGGGCTGGCATTGGATGTATCTTGGCTGGTATTGGCTTTGATACTTTTGGTGGACACTGGACTTTTTTCTACTTCAGTATACTTGCTTTTGGTGCTGCTTTACTCAATATTTGCAGTACTGTATTAGTTGCCAAAGGTTATCTTGTAATTCATCATGAATATTCACCGCCAAAAGGTTGATCCTTTGTCAATCCATTCTAGATAGAGCTCATTTTTTGTCCCTGATGATCCTTAATGTCCTCCACAGATCTGCTAAACTTTATGGGTTGTTGAGTATTAAATGATGTCTGTTATATATTAACAAAGATTTTGCGTGTAAAAATTTACTGACTTAAATTCCTATACATCGTGAAAGATTAACAGGCGCTTTATTTTTTCAAGACCATTTTGAACATATTTAACTGCTGGCAGTGCTATGGCCTGAGAAAATATTGCGCAGAAACATTTATTCACAGCCGAGCATTTAAATATGAGACATTATTCATTTTTCTTTTACTTAAGAAGGTTGATATATAATGGAATGTTAAGCAACATGCATAGTTAAATTATTATCGGTGTTTTAATTTGGGAAAAGCCAAAAACAGTAAGTGTTATTCCGTAACTGTATAAGAGATTTTTATTTTTCTAAATAAGTATTGTAACGCTATTGAGAGGAATTCGAACATGAGGGGCCATCAGAACATTATGTAAGCACTTAAAATGGGGATGGGGTTTGTGATTTATTTTTGCTGACAATGATATGAGGGGTATGAGCAATGGTCACGTAAAAGATATTAAAATCCCATTATTACCAAAAAAAAAAAAAAAAAAGCTGACAGAANAAAAAAAAAAAATAGCTGAAAAAAATTACACAATTATTTCTGGGAAAGAAAAAATTCGAATTCTTTTTTTTTTGCGGAGTTTAAGAGATCAACAGTTTTGAGTACGAAAGGAAAGCACAAAAGATTTTTAAAGAATATTCTACTCAAAATTTTGTAAAATGAATTAAAGCGTAAACTTTGTTTAATGCGAAGTTTTATCTTTTTAATTTATTTAAACCCCAAACGTGATTACTGCTGTCAAAGTTAAAGTAAAAACCAGTGAGTCATTGATTTGCTTATTTTTGTTCAGTAGGGCGCTGTCTAATCCTCTTCGAAAATGAGATTTTTTTTTTCTTCACCGTGTCAATTTTCGCACTTTATTATGCAAAAGCTTACTTTTCACAATTCATTCAAACACAATCTATTTCAGCGTTCCGTCGGTCCATAGCGCATAAAAGCGCCAATCATTTTACAGGTTTGATGAAATACTTGCGTGTTCGCATGTGAGCTGGGTTCGGTGAGATTATTGCTTTCTCATGAGCAACTCTGCTGCATTTTGCAAGATATTCTCAATTTCAAGCTTCATTTTCCACTATCTGAAATCGAACCGAAAAGTCTCTTGATCATATTTTAATGGCTAATATAATCAAGAAAAGAGTTCCTTTTCAAAAACTAGTTATTTTATCATGATCATTAAAAGTCTGAAAATTATTTTGCATTTTGTTAATGTATATGGTGCTTAGAAATATTTGAGTGCTTAAAAAGTACTTAAAAGGTGCTCATTTTTTATTGAAAGATTTGGCTACGCACCCTGTTTAACTATGAGTTTAACTAATCATAAATTTATGTTTTTATGAATAAAAATTCGTAAAATAAAGTATAGTGTGACTGTTTTCTTAAACGTTAGGTAGATTGGTTGGATGCAGTAGGGGCTTCATTGTTGGGCCTTCACCATTATTTTGTTGTTATTGACCACAGGCGCTACCTATTGACTTGGTATGCATTAAAAACTTAGTGATTTGCCATCTTTACCATGAATTAATTCACGCTTAATTTTCCTTAAATTCCTGTGCGAAAAACATACTAAATTTATGCTTCTAAGTTGGCAAATCATGGATATCAGTGAATTGTGTTTTAGTTGTTACTGACAGTATTTAAAACTTTGTTAAATTAGTAATATTTGGTCATAATAACAATGATTGTAAACATTGTTAAAACGGACTGGCGGTCATGGTCGACTGCGAGTCGCTCTCAATGAGCCAGTCAGAGTTGCTATGAATTGGCTGGTGGCTCCACCATGCAAATCGTATCGATGCTTGTATTTTTCAAAATTTTCGAGTTGAATAGTTAAAGGATGTTGTATCTGAATTATTGAAAATATACGGGGTAATAAAATCTTTAATTGGATAACGATCTGATTTGTTCCTTCTAGATAGACACCGAAAGCATATTTTTTGTAGTCTGTACTGGCTTTTAACCAGTATTTTGTACTTAAGAATCTTGTTAATGATTTAAGGTGGTACTGTATAACGAAAAATATCTACCGACATATGAAGGCAACTTTTCTTCAATGAAGGCAACGTTTCTTCAGCCAAAAGTACTTCTTTTTATTTTTTCCAACATTAACTTCACTCACTCTAGATTCTAGTTTATGTACTCTGCATTTGACATTTCATAAAGGCAACATCTGTGTTTTAATGTGCTTAGCATTGAAAACAATATTTAAATAACCAGTACAAAGTTGCCTAATTTGATTGTATTAAGAATCACTTTGTGTAAGTGCCAACGTTTTTCATGGTAAGATTTACAATACTGTTTAAATTGTATCGAAGCATCAGTGAAGAAAAAAAAAATACAGAACAGATTTCATTTGTTTTTGTTACACAAAAGTTGAATTGTCATATCATAACTAGAGTTTTGTTATTGTAATTCATTTATGTATTACTGTCACTTGTACAGTGTTAATAGTATTTTTCTGTTTAGTACTATAACAATAAATTTATTAAAAAAGAGTTTTGATTGAATTGAAATTCAATCGTAATTCATGAGTTATTATTTAATTTATCATAGATGTATTTTAAAAATTTTTATTCGTAATAAAAAGTATTTATGTAAATAATTATGTGACTCTTTGACTTAAAAAGAACATGTTTTTAAGGCAATTTGTTTATGTGAAGGTGCATCTTTGTCACAATATCGACAAAATTTGCATCAACCTTTAAGAAATTAACCATTTGGCGTAGGATTTTCATTGAACATATTTTTCATACGTTTTTCATTGTTTTGTATTAATTTAGATCAAAATAAGTGAAAATATTATCATTTTAGTAATTTATGGTTATGAAATACAGCATACGACACAGGTGTCTCTTTTTGCTTAGAAGGTAAAATCTTCCAAACATTAATTTTTCCAATTTGTACCTATTTGCAGTTATTTAGATTGAGGAAAAAATTAAATCATCATTGAAATTTCTTCAATTCACAAAATCAGTTTTTGATAAATTTTGAATATGAAAGAAAATTTTTTTCTTCAAAATACTTGTTTTATATTTTAGTACAAATATAATTCCAAAAATCTGACAAATTTTTTTAATTACTATTAGATTGTTTTTTATGGTTGAAAATAAGGGTAAATCTGTCGTACAAACGATTACACGATGTATCCTCCTCATATTCAGCGTCGAATATCGGTTAACAATTATCGATTATAAACAATTATATATATAACAATTATATCTATATCTATATATATAATTTATTATAGCTAATTATAGCTATTATAGCTAATTATATCTATAACAATTATATCGATTATAACAATTATAATATATATCGGTTAACAATTGATAAATTTTATCACTTTAAAAACAATTTTTCTGTTTGTATACGTTTACAAAGCTATTGACTATATAAAAATATAATTGACCTTTCCCTCGTTAGTCTGAGTTCTTAATTATAATTCAAAATTACAAGAAGGGTAAGAAATTCCGTTCAAGTAATTTTTTGGCCAGTTTAATGGCACATAAATATCTTATAATTTGAGACAAATGGATTTTGTTTCATTACCGAAATGTGGAGAAGTACACAATAAAAATATCCTACAATATGCAAAAATGCTAAAAAGTAGTTAAAAAAAATTAAAAATTTAAGACCAGTTAATAGGTTTTTATTTTTTTAATCGTATTTATGAGTTTGATTTGTTCTAAGCTACATATTGTACTGCGCACAAGGATTTGTTTCGATTGGAGTTGACTAAAACAGTCCTTAAGACTCCAAAAAATTTAGTAGCAAAATATTTCAGAAAATACAGCTATTTCTAGCACTCAATTGCAGCTCAAATAATAATCTAGTACACAACAAATCACAGGCTTTGAAACCTCAGACACTTCAATGAACTTGCTCGCAAATCAGAACACTATTGCAGTCTCAAGCAGATTAATACTCTCTACTCTGCGAGGCACACTCTATATAGGCTTGGCGACAAATCCGTGGAACTTTCGTTAAGATTATAGACGATTCTCATAAAGCTCCGTAAATATTGGTCTTTTCCAGAACTATCCTTTTGTTGCCAAAATGCCATTTTTTGCCAAGTCGGCAAAAATTTCGCCAGACCAAGTCTTCCATAAGAAATACATTAGGCATTATTCTCTCGCTAAATTATGTTAGAATAACGCGGCTTTTATACAAATTTTAATCTCATGAATTAAAATCTCACGAATCATCGATAACTCTCATCTGATATCCATTTCATCATGAGATTATAGACAATCAAATTCCCTACAATGTAGCATAAGGTTTATTATACGTCCCTACTACTAAATTTCATTATAATTTTCAAAATTTTGCTTTTTTACTCAAAATAAAGAATATTAACCTTTCAATTTTTTTATTTCCAATGGCAAGTGTTACAGAAAGACCTGCGTACCACAAAAGAGGAGGAACAAATTAGAACATAAAAAGAAATATATAACAGGCTTGGCGCGAAAAGTCTATGAACTCAAGCTTTTTCTAACCAAATCTTCATTGTAGAGACTTCAATTATTTAATATCTCATAAATCAACGATACCTCTCATATTATGTGCATTTTAATGAGATTATAGACAATTAAATTCTCAACAATGTAGCGCAAGATTTGTTTTACATACCTAATAGAGAATTTTATTATAATTTTCAAAGTAACGCAAAATGAAATATTCAAACTTAAAAGGAAGAAAGAAAAAACTCAAAATGAGAAACAGAGCAAAAAACCCAGTCTTTATTGTAGAGAACTCATTTATTCACAGATAAATCATCGATAATAATCATATGACATTCATTTTATTCAGAGATTGCAGACGATCAAATTCTCTACAATGTAGCATAAGGCTTAGTTTACATGTCTGATTGTGAATTTTATTCGAAATTTCGCTTCGACTTTCGAAATATCGCTTTCTTAACGCGAAACAAAAAAAGAAAAAGACAACGTATTAAACATACTCATTTGTTTTACTTACCTAATAAGAAAAAAACTAGTCATTACTGAAGATAATTCAATTCGATAATCTTATAGAAGGAAAATGATAGTTGCATGAATAACTTCTGGGGTATTATTTATGAGGCGAGGTGGAAAAATATGTTTTCTCTAAAAAAGAAGATTAAAGTTTATAGATTTGTAACTGCAGCTTGTTATATTTTCAGAAAAATCGGTTTAAAACTTAATATCAGAACCTTGAAACATTATACTGGGCAAATTTCTGGTTTTAAAAACTTAAACAAGGAATTAGATAAAACAATGTTTCTCTTCACGTTTAACTATAGCATAGTGTTACTAGTTTTAAGAAGTATATAAACATGGTTCAACTAAAAATAATATTAAGGTCATAAAAATCATATTATGTCTGTTAATTTGAGGAACTGCTAAAAGAAATCCTGTCAACTTCTTTTTTAATTGAAAAAAATGGAATAATTATTCAAATGTTAGAAACTTATTCAAACTATCGAAATCCTAAATTATGTAATGATCCTGGGGAAAAGAAATTCTTACTACTGTATTTGCTATATTAGCTGAATACAACTAAATTAATTTATCAATAATTAAATAAACGAAATTTTTCTTATCTTGAATTTATGGAAAATTACTTTAGAGTGAGATTTAAAATTGAAAAAAAAAACAACTTAAATTACTATTCATTCTACCTTCCCCAATGGAGAGACATCCCACTGCGAGCCTTGGCCTTCCTCAGAATTCTATTTATGCTATATCTTTAGCCTTGCTTTACCATTTAGTTACTTTGAGGATGGTCAAGCCTTTTTCCAGACTGTCTGCTCATCTGAGTCTTGGATGACCTCTTTTTAGAGTGACCGTTGGTATGGCTGAGAAAACTTTTTTCGTTGCGCTGGCATCAGGCATTCTGATTATGTGACCAGCCCATTTCAATTTGTAGATGTTGAAATTTCTAACTATCGATTATCTTCTTTATACTAAACTAAACTTAATTGCATAATAGCCTATGAAGGTTCGGCCGTCTGTGCCGATCCCTGATTTTTTTACCTTGGGTTCTGGGGTGCAGGAGCAGATTACCAGGATGGGTTGTCAACCAAACACAGTACTCCCGTCCTCAGTGTTTAGTCTCCATTTCTCTTGATGCTCATTTTATTGACCCACTGAAGGGTTGAAAGACTGAGTCAACCGTACCTGGTCCGAGGACTCTCTAACTTTAATATCTATTCATTTTATCGATTTTTTTACAGAATCTATTATTTTACAATATCTATTCCATTATTAAGTCTGTTCTATTCTGTACATAATATTTATATGAGCTGAAAATAAAAGAATATTCGCTTGCAGCAAAATAACTTGGGCCCTTATTGGACCAATATTCACGAATCTTGGCTCAATAAGGGTTCAAAGTGCCATTATTTTACCAATATTAGCCCTAGATAGAATTGTCCGATTTACCCAATATTTTACCACCACTCTACAACCAATATCGGCCCTATATCGAATTATCAGATTCACACGATATTTTATATTCGTTAATCAGCTGGCCCCATGATGGCCAATATTGTCTCTATATAGGACCAATATTAAAAAATCTTGACATCCCAATATTGGTTCCTCTGTACATGTTCTTATAGGACACGTATTGAGCATATTTTGAGCCCAACTAGGGCCTAATTAAAATTGTTGCTATGCTTATTTTGTCTATTTTTCTACAATGGAAATTACAAATAATTTTATGTCAAGTTAGTTTGAAATAAAATTAGTGAGAGTTTTTAATGAATTTTCTAAATCATAAGCAAAAAAGGACACTAAAGAGGTAGTCTACAGAGCACGTGCAGATTTATAGCTATTAAACTGAAATGAAAACAGTTTTTTTTATTAATTTATTTTCTTCTGATGCTCATCTACCGCGGAAGACAAATGCTGCACAAAAAACGAAAAACATACTAAGAGAGGGTGTTAGGATTTTTTTTTATGTAAACATGTAATTTTCTTATTTTGCTGAGAAGGAGGGAGAGGTTCAAAATGTCTAAGAAAAACATGTCTACGAAACATTTGAACTTCCTCCTTTTAAATTTCACTTTAGTTTGAAAATGAAATCTTTTTCAGTTTTAGAACTAAATATTTTTACTTAAACTGTTATCATGTCGTGGTAGTCAAAATTTTTCTTTTCATATCCAAGAATTGGCAAAATTATCATCATAATGTTTGCCAGATCAAAAAATATTTAACATATTCCGTTTTTCATTTTGTTTAAATACATTTTAGTTTGAAATTTTTACTGTGCTCATATACTTAAAAGCACCAGTTTTAGCGATGAAACGCCCATCCGTTTCTTGTAATTTGTAAGTAACAATCACCAAATCACAATGCTCTCCTTCCTTAGATGTTTTGTAATATTTGAATGGCTTATAACATGCAACGGCTTATGTCATATAACAGCCTAAATTGGAAACAGTTTTTATCTCTCGTGATCATTTTAAAAATTTTGATACAAACGTTAAGATTTATATCTGGCAATAAATATTTAACTCTCTTATTTTTGAAGTTATACTTCTTATGCGACTTCCAACAAGGTTGCGTTAAACGTTTAACGATACATTTTTATTGGCCGGAAAATCACTTGGTAGCAGTGGCGTACGCAGAATTTTTTCAAGGGGGTGTCCTTAATTTTCTGAGACTACTAAAAGAAATTCGAGTCTGTAATAAAGCACCATTATTTCCCTAATTTAGACAGCTAAACAATTTCGACTTTTTATTTAGACAACATTGTTTAGTTAAATTTTGATTTGATTTTTTAAGTTTAGGAACATAATGTAATATCTTCTGAAAAAAGTCCAATGTCATATGGGTGGGAAGTAACACTTTGAGGACCACTTTCACATTCATCAGATTTTGTTATGCTAGAAACGTTTTCTTCAACGGAAGTATCACATTTCTGTACAACAGAAAAACTTACATTGGTACTAGATGCGCTATGCTCGGATCTCAAAGTTTCGAGCTGGAATGAATAACTTCAACGAGCACAGTATCTCCAATGGTATTGTTGCTGATTTTTTCACTAGTCGAAATAGTGGCGACGACGGGTTCGGCGATTGAATGAACTTTTTGTTAAGACAAAACAAAACAGATTTAGCGACAAGCTCCGAAAGACAAGCGGCAGAGATAACTGTTAGTCTGATTAACTAACTCCACTGTACTCCGTTCCCCCTTTTATATAATTTTTCACCGCATCTCCAAAATTCTCGAATTGTCTCTAAGACGACAGAACGTCTAGGATTCCAGAATCATCGCGTAAAGACCTCGCGAGTGACAGTTGGTCTTGAAAACTATACTGGCAGGACAGAAAGGAACCAGTCCGTAACAGTATCACGTGAATTTGGTTTCAAAAGTACAACCCTATTATAGTAAATGTTTTTTCAGTATTCTGAGAAATACCGTGAGAAAAAAAAGTAGGCATATGGCAAATAAAAATATATAGTTTTAAAAAATAATAGCACGCATAATTTCTACTAAAATGTTTATTTTTGCCATTTTATCTGAGCTCAAGGGGGGTGTTTAAACCCCTAAACCCCTCCCTTCCGCACGCCACTGCGTGGTAGGATCCAGTTTTCCCTCATTCATTTCCACATTGTTTTGGTTCTCACTAGCATAAAAATAATAAAAGTCATAAAAGTATTGTTTTTCTATAAATATTTTTTTAGTTTGATTTGATATACATATAATTTAATAGGATAGTATTTTTTATTTTCAAATTTAGTGGATAACAATTTTAAAAAGGAGTGAAAACAATCCCACGGACAATGCGACGGATTTAAGGTTATGTCAAGGTACGTCTCTTGTGAATATCAATTGATTGTTAGATTTTCTCTTTTGAAATTACATTATGACGCATTCACATACATTATTAATACAAATACATTTTCCAACCACAAGCACTTCCACTGGTTCAAGAGGTCCACGACGGAAAAATGCACAATATTACCGTTATTACAGAGCACGTAAGAGTTGTTGAATAGAACTAGTGATCCTTCTACGACTGCTGATTCTTCTACAATTAACGTCGCAGATTACGAAGTTTAACTTCTTCCGCGCGGAGGGACTCCACACACTATTTTTTTAAAATTATATTTGTTCCTTTTTTTTAAAATTAACCGCATGCTTATTAAATGATGATCTCGAAAGAGAAAAACTATTCTGCACCATATTCATGAAAACAATTGTTATCAATATTCATTATTTAAAGCAAAAAATGCTATGCGGTTAAACCTGCAATAATTTTGATACAAATTGGAATTTCGAAAAAAAAATCGCGCTGAATTCAGAAATGAAAATGGCGTTTCCAGTGCGCTAAATTTTAACTCCTTAGCTGCATTTCTGTGGACTGCAGAGTGGTTCACGTGATATATTTTACTACAAGTTTAACAGTTAATAATCCTGGAATCAAATGTTGAATTTTCTTCTTCTTTCCATCATACTTCTTGTAGACCTTTTAACACACCTTCGTAGTTTTAAGTTCCTAAATTGAATAGCTTTGGTGCAATAAAACAATGTGTAACTTAAAGCGAAAGAAAAGTGGGTGAAATCCCAGAAAAAAGCACTTAACTATTAAATTATCTGTTCCATTCTTTCAATTCAATAATAACTTATTATTTTAATGTCTAACAATTTTTTTCAACTGTTTTACAACCATTTCATAGCATATGAACAATTTTAATAACTATTTCTTAAACAGTCTTCCTGTATTCTTAAAAAAATAGAATATTTCACTCCTTTTTTTACAATTACATTCGTAATTTAAAAATTCTTTATGTATTCTTAAGAGTGGAATACTTTAAAAAACAAACTATTTTACGTAAAACGATTTTTTGCGAATTTTAAAAAAACGTTTTCAAAATCGTTTAAATGAATAAATTTGTCAAGGACATTAGATTTATTGCTATAAATTATTGTTTTGCTAAGTTGAGATAACAGCTTCTTATTTAATTTTTTCTAATCCTCGTCGAATTTCACAAAAAAATAAAAATAAAAAATACATTCTAAAAGAGAGAGAGAGAGATAAAGAAGAACATTGAGAAATAAAATGGTGCCTGGAATAGTTTTTTTTCAAGCTGTTGTAACTTGATATTGAAAAGAATAAACTCCAGCAATGATAAATTACTTAGAGGTTGATTCATTTATCTAGCCATTTTTGCTCTTGTAATTATCACATTACTTATATAACATTATCTACGGTCTTGCATGTTGTCAAACATTATTTCATTTGCACTTTTAAGATAATTATAAAATATTCAAAACATTTAATTCAATAGAACACAAGGCTTATACTTATATCTTAAAACGACATTTACAGGATATATCATAGAAAAAATAGGTTGCGTTGTAAAATCATACCAAATATCATCACTTCAAAGGAATGATAATGTTTGTGTGGGAAGGGAAAATGATCACGTGATAGGATTGGACAGAAAATAATTGTGGTCTTCATACAACGTTGCAGTTTTCTAATTAGAGTGGTGGCTTCAAAAAGTAGCTTTGATGGAGAGGTATGTCAATTTTTAATGAAACATTTTATTAGATATATTATAAACTTTCAAATTTGTAATCGATAATATGGAATGAACACCGTAATTGAGGAGCAAGGAATTATTTACCACAAGAGACTTTTTAATTTTCATATTATTAGAAATTTAAAGATAAAAATTATTCTTTATAGTGCATTACATATATATATATATATATATATATATATATACATATATATAGATATATATATATATATATATATATATATATATATATATATATATATATATATATATATATATATATATATATATATATATATATATATATATATATATATATATATATATATATATATATATATATATATATATATATATATATATATATATATATATATATATATATATATATATATATATATATATATATATATATATATATATATATATATATATATATATATATATATATATATATATATATATATATATATATATATATATATATATATATATATATATATATATATATATATATATATATATATATATATATATATATATATATATATATATATATATATATATATATATATATATATATATATATATATATATATATATATATATATATATATATATATATATATATATATATATATATATATATATATATATATATATATATATATATATATATATATATATATATATATATATATATATATATATATATATATATATATATATATATATATATATATATATATATATATATATATATATATATATATATATATATATATATATATATATATATATATATATATATATATATATATATATATATATATATATATATATATATATATATATATATATATATATATATATATATATATATATATATATATATATATATATATATATATATATATATATATATATATATATATATATATATATATATATATATATATATATATATATATATATATATATATATATATATATATATATATATATATATATATATATATATATATATATATATATATATATATATATATATATATATATATATATATATATATATATATATATATATATATATATATATATATATATATATATATATATATATATATATATATATATATATATATATATATATATATATATATATATATATATATATATATATATATATATATATATATATATATATATATATATATATATATATATATATATATATATATATATATATATATATATATATATATATATATATATATATATATATATATATATATATATATATATATATATATATATATATATATATATATATATATATATATATATATATATATATATATATATATATATATATATATATATATATATATATATATATATATATATATATATATATATATATATATATATATATATATATATATATATATATATATATATATATATATATATATATATATATATATATATATATATATATATATATATATATATATATATATATATATATATATATATATATATATATATATATATATATATATATATATATATATATATATATATATATATATATATATATATATATATATATATATATATATATATATATATATATATATATATATATATATATATATATATATATATATATATATATATATATATATATATATATATATATATATATATATATATATATATATATATATATATATATATATATATATATATATATATATATATATATATATATATATATATATATATATATATATATATATATATATATATATATATATATATATATATATATATATATATATATATATATATATATATATATATATATATATATATATATATATATATATATATATATATATATATATATATATATATATATATATATATATATATATATATATATATATATATATATATATATATATATATATATATATATATATATATATATATATATATATATATATATATATATATATATATATATATATATATATATATATATATATATATATATATATATATATATATATATATATATATATATATATATATATATATATATATATATATATATATATATATATATATATATATATATATATATATATATATATATATATATATATATATATATATATATATATATATATATATATATATATATATATATATATATATATATATATATATATATATATATATATATATATATATATATATATATATATATATATATATATATATATATATATATATATATATATATATATATATATATATATATATATATATATATATATATATATATATATATATATATATATATATATATATATATATATATATATATATATATATATATATATATATATATATATATATATATATATATATATATATATATATATATATATATATATATATATATATATATATATATATATATATATATATATATATATATATATATATATATATATATATATATATATATATATATATATATATATATATATATATATATATATATATATATATATATATATATATATATATATATATATATATATATATATATATATATATATATATATATATATATATATATATATATATATATATATATATATATATATATATATATATATATATATATATATATATATATATATATATATATATATATATATATATATATATATATATATATATATATATATATATATATATATATATATATATATATATATATATATATATATATATATATATATATATATATATATATATATATATATATATATATATATATATATATATATATATATATATATATATATATATATATATATATATATATATATATATATATATATATATATATATATATATATATATATATATATATATATATATATATATATATATATATATATATATATATATATATATATATATATATATATATATATATATATATATATATATATATATATATATATATATATATATATATATATATATATATATATATATATATATATATATATATATATATATATATATATATATATATATATATATATATATATATATATATATATATATATATATATATATATATATATATATATATATATATATATATATATATATATATATATATATATATATATATATATATATATATATATATATATATATATATATATATATATATATATATATATATATATATATATATATATATATATATATATATATATATATATATATATATATATATATATATATATATATATATATATATATATATATATATATATATATATATATATATATATATATATATATATATATATATATATATATATATATATATATATATATATATATATATATATATATATATATATATATATATATATATATATATATATATATATATATATATATATATATATATATATATATATATATATATATATATATATATATATATATATATATATATATATATATATATATATATATATATATATATATATATATATATATATATATATATATATATATATATATATATATATATATATATATATATATATATATATATATATATATATATATATATATATATATATATATATATATATATATATATATATATATATATATATATATATATATATATATATATATATATATATATATATATATATATATATATATATATATATATATATATATATATATATATATATATATATATATATATATATATATATATATATATATATATATATATATATATATATATATATATATATATATATATATATATATATATATATATATATATATATATATATATATATATATATATATNTGTATTCTTACGCCTCATCAAATTTATTTATTACTCAAAGCAAATCGTTTAATCTTTCCTTATATGGAAGTGAAAGATCTTAAAATAACTTCTCTTTTGAAGTATAAATCTAATTATTATTCATTGGCATGTTTTTAGCCTTGAAGTCCCAAAATAGAATTTCTACCCTTATCCTTTACTAAAGATATTTTATGAAAAGGAATGAAGTTTTAATGCTTTTATTAATACAAAAGTGTTTAATTTTTGTATTACTTCCCCCCCTAAAAATTTTTTTTGGTAAGCCAAAAAAAAATAATAATAAAATTTAGAATACTATGAATTTATAAAATTTATGTTGGTATGACTGTCCTCTTTCCTACTATAAATAACATTTTTCCAATTTATATAATTACTAGAACTTTGACTATAGGATACCATATCTTCATCAACGCTACTTTTTGTACATATAGAATTTAAACTAACTTGTGTAAATTTATTTACATAAGTTTTAGTTGGTAAATGTGGTTCAAAATCAGTTTGAGTTTGTTTACTTTTAAACTGAGTAGTTTCCTCCTTATCTTCGGAGGGATTTTCAATTACAATAGAATTTTTTAAGTAATTAAAATCACATAAACAATTTAAAATATGCTTGGCAATTTCCTCCTTATTTCCTTCACTGGAAATATTAAGAATGTCTGAAATTTGGACTAAATCCGAAAAATTAAATTTATCACAAATTTCTTTCAGTTTGTTTGAAAATTCATCATCTTTAGATTCAAAAGAAAATTTTGAAAAATTTAGAATTTTGTTACGGTTTAATCTAGACAAATCATTTGGAAACAAAAGTTTAAATAATAACTTAATTTTGTTTGCCTTCGCTACTTTAATTGACGTTTGAACCACATCTATTTCTTTTAAAAACATTTTAAAAGCAGTATAAATGCACTATTCTATCATAAAAAATAATAAAAAAAACAATATAAACACAAAAATGCACTTCATATTTTACGATTATTCAAAGATACGTAATAATAAAATTTTAGATTATTAAAATATGCAATAAAAATTATTCATTATGAAGAGAAAAAAAAATATGCAGATATGTACGGGATTTATCTTTTTGTCACTTTCGAAGGAGAGGAAAAAAAAATCTTTTTCCTAAAAAGGAATTTTCCATAGGAGCAAAAGCTCCTCTAATTTTTCTAATAAAAAACGTGCACATAATTGGTTTTCTTCTTCTATATTTTGTTTTCACAACACTTTCTTTATCACTCGGTGCCGACTCACCACTTTTTTTTTCTCACAACATCATGATTAGGACTTTTCTAAAACACTAATCCGCATAAATCGCACACTTCCATTGTGTTTCTTGGGCACCAACAGGCACAAAACTTTATGAGGGCTCAGACAAAAGCGAACGGTCTGACTCCAGGCATCAGCATCGATAAGGAACAGATTTTTTAGGAAGGGATGAGGAATCCTTCAGAACGGCGTTAGGCGATTTCTTCCGGGTGTCTAGGATGGGAAGTCTTTTTCATTTTTTCCCCACAATCGAAAACTTTTTAATCTCAGGAGTCCATTGAAGTTTTTTCTCTTCAAACCAAGGGGGTAAAAAGGGAGTTCCAAGGCGACAAAGTAGCAGTCACTTAAGACCTATCCCGCAAAATTATAGAATTGCTGAGTTTCTTTCGCGAAGCCAACATCCTGCCTGGCTTGAAATAACGGTGTATCCACACCGTTATTTTTTAGTTAATTAGTAGTCAAAGCAGCATGATTAACGAGTCCATGTTGTGCATAATCCTTTTTATTTAGAAGCGATGGTGAAAGCATGCACTTAGCCTCCTCCCGCTGGAGATGGGGGGAGACCCATTTCCCGTCTAAGCTGACGGATTTTATTTAAGCATGATAAACAACAAAAAGCCACGCAAAAACATTCGGTCCTGCGTTTTATAGGATGATTACAAGTTGTGAAGCGGCCAGTCATTATTGCCTTTTTCTGTATTCTTACGCCTCATCAATTTATTTATTACTCATAGCAAATCGTTTAATCTTTCCTTATATGGAAGTGAAAGATCTTAAAATAACTTCTCTTTTGAAGTATAAATCTAATTATTATTCATTGGCATGTTTTTAGCCTTGAAGTCCCAAAATAGAATTTCTACCCTTATCNTGTGTATATATATATATGTGTATATATATATATATATATATATAAAATCAATCACAAAATGTATGCTGTATGTTTTTAAAAGAGTGCTTCAGCTTTGCAAAACTTTTTTTAAAGCTGCCAAAGGAGATTATAAAATGCAGTTTTTTTCTCGAGGGATAACAAATTATACTGTAGCCCAGTGTCTCTAAATTTAAGAAAATCCAAAATCAAATAATTTCAGCTGTTCATTCAAATTGATTAATCGTGCTCATTAAAAATGTTGCTTTTGAGTTTTTAAATTATTACAATATCATGTAATTATAGTTGTAATATTGTTTTTCAATGTTACAGACTTATAAAATTTGTAATATTATAAGTCTGTTACAACATAGTTATACATTTGTAATAGTAATTTCTAACCTTCCTTTTTCGAAAATTGAAGGAACTAGAAGAAGAGAGAGACCAGCTACAAGATGGTTGGACAGCGTTGAATAGGACTTAAAATTGTTGGGAATAAACAGGTGGAAAAATCTAGCTCCTGGAGGCAGCTAATTGAGAAAGCCTTGGCCTGCACTAGGCTGTAGTGCTGACGAAGAAGAAGAATAGTAATTTGCATCATTCATGAAAATTTTCATCAGAAAAATTTCTATCCTGATCTGTCATGCCAACTACATTCCCCGAGGCACCAAATGAATTTTAAACTTGTTATTTAAAGTAAATAAATAAATGAAAACAAGTAGATGCTTGCTGGCTGATGGCTACGAGTTAAATCCTTCAAGTTGGTCCTTTTATAATGATTTTTTTCCCAAATAGTTTTTCGTGGGTTGCTGCCCAGCAGTTGCCAAGACTTGGAGATTATTCTGCAGCAGATACGATACGGAAATATTCCTATTCTATCAGTTCCTGTGGCTTTTCCAGAAAACGAGGGGATATTCATATTCAAGAGATTATTTTGCATAAGAATCAGCAATATAGAATCAGCATTGATATAATATTAGTAATGATACTAATAGTAATGATAATAATAGAAATGATAATAATAATAATATTTCGAATTTAACATGTTTATATTTATTTTATTCTGTTTAAATTCTTACAAAAATAATCGCATTTTCTTTAGATTTGATGTGACAGACAAATGAACAATGAATGCACATTCTTTATAAGCAATAATGGATTCAAAGATGGAGGGAGGAGAAATTTCAGTGACTACTCCAGCCACTCACGAAGAGGATGAAGCAAAAAAGGGTTTTTGGCACATCGACAAAGAAATGATTCGATTTAAGATACATTTCTTCTTATTTTTTGGAGGTGAGAATTTTTTTAGCTGTTTTGGGTAATGATTATTCATTTGTTTGTTTTTTATGTTACAAATTAATTTGTTTAGGTTGTTAAACAAATAGATTTTATGATTCCTTAAAGAATGCGATCGCAAGTATCTTTGCAATACGTTTAATTATTTTTTACAAAAAATAAATGTTATAACATTGAATTATAGATATATACTTTAATAATTGAACTTATAGTGCGTTTTTCTTTTATAGCCATGGGAGCTATGCTGCCTTATTCTCCTCTTATTGCGAAGAACAGAATCGGAATTTCAGCCACCTCGTATGCAACAATTACAACTGCTTCACTATTTAGTACTATATTGACCAAAACTGCTCTGGGATACGTAGCAGATTATTTCAAGAGAATGAAAATTATGATAAGTGTGCTGATCATCATGCATTGCTCGATTTACTTATCTCTACTTTTCATTCCACCCATAATGAAGACCGCAAGAATGACCCAAAACGACACATTATCTGACTACTTCAAAGACTATAAGGTTGCAAAACTTCCTTATCATTTCCTTATCATTTCATATGATAAAAATGCTAACTGCGACGCGTACAACAATACACCAGCAGATGTAAAATTTGCTGCATCAACAACTACGGAGGTAATAGTCACACTTGAAGGTCAGCTTGGTGAAATTGTTTGTTTCATATCACATATAAATTCAGTGGTGAACTGTTTTGAAGCAAACAGCGTCACAAAGAAAGATACGATGAAGTTAAAACCACAGAATACTTTTTGCTGCTCTATTTACTCTTCAAAATTTGAGAAATTTCACAGCTTACCATTTCGCCATTCTTCTATTGCCCCAGGTGAACTGGCAATGGCTATTAGAAATTCCAACATAAGTTTTTTTCAATGCTCACTGGTCTTTTCCGGACTATTGACAGAACTTATGGCACAAGAATCTGTGAATGATTTTAAGACATATCAGTTTTGGATTTATGCTCTATTGATGTTTTTGGTGGGCACTTGTGCTAGTTCTACATTTACATTGTCAGATACCATCTGCTGTGAGAGTGTACAAAAGTACAAAAGAGATTTCGGTCGCCAAAGGATTTATTCTGCCATTAGCTGGGGTCTACTGGCGCCTTTGGGAGGACTGCTATGTGATTTTACTAATGATTTTTATGCAACATGGTTACTCATGGTGTCTTTGCAATGTTTGACTATTTGGAATTTGTATAAAATGGATATCGTCATTCCACAGTTTTCTCAAAATATAGCAAAGGACGTCGCGACTATTCTTAAGTCGCCAACGTTTTTGGCATATCAACTTGGCGTATTTATAAATGGAGTAGGGTCTGGAATTACTTGGTTTTATCTCATTTGGTTCGTTTCTTCATTGGGAGCTAACAACTTTCTCTGCGGCATGATTCCTTACATGCAATGCTTTGCGGGTGAATTGCCAATCATGTTCTACTCTGGATGGATTATAGAAAAACTCGGGCATTTTAATATAAACAGTTTATCTCTTTTATTTTATGCAATTCGTTTTTTGTGTTACAGTTACCTTCAAAACCCCTGGCTTGTTCTCCCAGTTGAAATTACTCAGGGTTTCAATTACGGGTTATTTTATCCAGCAGTGGCATCATTTGGAAAACTTAGTGCCAAGACCGGAACAGAAGCCACAACTCAATCAATTCTTTTCTCTACTCATGAAGGATTAGGTATGAAACAATTATAATAACATAATAATATAAACAATAGGTAAGAGCATATTTTTCAGAAATTTGCATTTTTAATATTTTATCATATTTTTAAAGAATATTTTATCTGCTCTTTAACTAATTTTATGTGCTTAGCGAATGCATTTTTATGTTACACGCTTTGATTTTTAGGCCAATAACAGCACCATCGAATAACTAGTATATCAGTTGAATGAATTATTTTTGGTTATTAAAGCGTTCTAAAACTTGATTATGGCATTAAAATATCAGCTCTGCCTTCTACAGATCTATTTTGGATTCGAAAATGAGATTGTGCTATAACATTCTCTATACATTTTCTTTTACAGAAGTAATAAAATTTAAGCTTTAAGAAATACTTCATGTTTTTTCATACTTTTACATTAAAAATTATTGTAAAATCCTAGTATACGTTACAAACTTGGGTTGATTGTAAAAAATGGCTACAACGCCGTAATAACGCGTTAATGACCCTCTTGTCACCAAACTGTTGAAGCGTTAACATGTCTTTGAACAAGTCAACAAAAACTGGCGTAGACAATGACAAAAAATTGTAACTTGAAAATGACAAATACATAAGCACATTACCATGAAAAAGCGTGAATCCATCTTTAAGCCCATGAATTTACAAATCTCAAGCTTAACCATAAAACCACACCATGAGTTGCAAAATGTCTAAAAAGCAATAATCCACCAAATTTCGTCAAATTTACAACAACATAATTGAAAACCTTATCCTCTTCCCAAACATCACCAAATTCACCCTGCAACGTATACTAGGATTAAGCTAAAATTATTATACTTAAAAAAAATCTTTTTGCCACAGGAGGATTTTTCTGTAATTCCAAATTATCCGTATAAATTACATTGAGCTCCGACTCACAGTTGACAATTAAGCCTTCATGGATTAACATAATTGGATACTTGCACTTCAAGAAGGTATGGAAGACCTTCCATACCTACACACGTGACCTATGACGTCAGCGCCATCTAGTCTTTATCAGCAAAATGCCATATTAAAGTTTAGCTCATTTTTTCCACATAAGTTAAAAGTTAATTAACGGTAAGTTAATTTTATACAGAACAGCATCACTCATAGAATTAGTTGAAATATAATTCCTTCTCGTCTACTTCTTTTTGTTAATTTAGATTTATAATTTGTTTATGTATTTTGTTGTAACCTTAATATATTTTTGTTTTGTGTATCTGGCAACTTCGATGCATAATTAATTTGTTTATGTTCCACATGGCTACGTACTGTCTTTGTGTTAAGTCTTTATGTAAATATACAGTAAAAGAATTGAAATCTTTGAGAAAGAGAAATGATACTTGACAGGCTTGGCTTACTCGAAATAGAATGGAAAGAACAGTTGCCAACGAAAATAAATGTCATGTTTTAGCAACCGATCAGGATCGAAATACCCACACTACACCACTTATGTAGGTATCTCATTTTAAAATTCCCTTGCTCCACCCAGCCTTTCCCTTAATGACAGTAGAGTAGTTAAAAATATTTTAACATACTCGTCATACATATCACACTAAACTGTATTCATTTGCAGGTGCTGGTATTGGATGTGTCTTGGCTGGTATTGGCTTTGATACCCTTGGTGGCCATTGGACTTTTTTCTACTTCAGTATGTTTGCTTTTGGTTCTACTCTGCTCAACATTTGCAGCACTTTATTGGTTAGAAACTTTTACACTACAGCCAATCCGGAACCTTCACCACCGAAGGAGTGATTTATGATACAATAACACTAAGAAATGTTCGGAATGTTTGCGAAAGATGTATCTTTCAGATATAAACATAATATTAGTGTGTTTCATAAACATTATTCTCAATAAATAAACTACCACTGATTAATTTCAATACACCAATCGTATTTTTTCACTTATTTCAAGAAATGCGCTAAGAAATGAGCTATCTTTTGAATACAATATTTTACGGAGAAAAATATTTCATTAAAACAGATGAAATTTCTTTTGCTATGCATTGGAGGAGATGAAAAGCTTAAATAAACTGAGCTATAAATTGTATTAAAAGTAAAAAATTCATATGAATATATTATATTTCATTCTTATTATGCTTACTAGTTTACACACGTTCTCAAAAGGTTCATTGCGTGTTCACTAAAATGGACACAACACGAAATTCGCGTTCAAGAAAATAGACACAGCTCGAAATGCGTGTTCAAGAAAATAGACACAATTAAAAATGCGTGTTCAAGAAAATGGGCACAACTCGAAATGCGTATTCAAGAAAATGGGCACAACTCGAAATGCGTGTTCAAGAAAATAGACACAACTCAAAATGCGTGCTCAAGAAAACAGACACAACTCAGAATTCGTGTTCAGGAAAATAAACACAGCCCGAAGTGCATGTTCAAAAAAATAGACACAACTCGAAATGCGCGTTCAAGAAAATAAACACAGCCCGAAGTGCATGTTCAAGAAAATGGACTCCACTCGAAATGCGTGTTCAAGAAAATAGACACAGCTTTTAAATGTGTCTTCAATAAAATGGACAAACCCCAAAAGAGTGTTCAAGAAAATGAACACAACTCGAAATGCGCTTTTACAATGTTCAAGTATCCGACTACCATATTTTAAGTAAATTTTGTCTGAAATATCATTTTCCTGTTTTTGATATAAAGTAAAACTATATGAACATTTCTCTTTCTGAAAACCGTTTGAGTTTTGTTTCTACGTCAAATAGCATAAAAGTTATGATTATTTAAACAAAAAATTTCTACATTGGTTTTTATATTGATAATAGTGTCTTTTTTGTCTTTTTTTCTCAAAACTTTATTTTTAGATATTTTCTTTTATTCTAAGGGCAATGTCTCTATTTTATTTCAAATTACTTGAAATTTCGCATGATTTTCTTTCTATACATATGCATAAGAATAAACTACGGATTAGTTGATTAAACTGTTATTTTGTATTTTACAGTTTAAAAAAAAATAAATAATAGCAATTTATGGCCTTTTTTCGCTAAACATACTTCGATGTTTACTGTAGAATATCTAAATATTAATTTTGTGTTTAATGAGTAGTTCTTTCCCTAAGTTGAATTTATATAAGTATTATAAAACAATAATAATGAAAAAATAATACACTTTAACAAAGTTATGCGATTTTGAAAAAGTTGAATTTTTGGTCTTTTTTAAACTACTTTTCTTCCCATATTTTTTTACAAAATATATTTCTTTTAATATTTTTTGTATTCATAACATATTTTAGTGTATAAATCACTCATAAATCCAAAAAAAAAATTTCTAAATTCAGAATTTCAAAATTTTGTCTTTAAAGATATTTGGGTACCTTTAAGCAATTAACCCAGAATTTTGACATCGTAATGTAACTAGGAAAATTTTATGAGCGTGGTTTTAAAATGAGTAGTTTTATTATTCATAGATTGTCACTATAAGTACAATACTAAAACTTTTACATTAATAGTTTAAAAGTAGTATATAATCAAAAATCATCATAAGTTATCAATAATCAAAATCATCATAAAATGATTACATGACTTTATAGTACGTCTACGCAGTACAGACGAATCGGTGACTTTATAGTACGCAGTACAGACGAATCGGTTGCTGGCGCTTTGCGTAAAATACCGAGTTAATAACCATACGCAGCATCCAGCATAAATAATCAAAAGGTAGTAGTTCAAAAAAAGTAGTAGTTCAATAATCATAAACTACTTTTAAGTAATACATTCAATTTCATGTAGTTTCAGTCTTTTAATTGTAGAAATTTTTATGTATTTAAAACTTCAGATAAGATTTTGCAGCATGTAATTTAACTGATAATTTTTTTAAAAAATTTCGTGCGACATTTGTCTTGACTGCGAACTAAACTGTATTTGCCTTTTCCCTGTTACACTCTTTGAGCTTTTCTTCTTCATAAAGTAAAGGCAAGTTTTTATTTTATTTTTTTAAAAATTCTTTTTATTTTTAAGATGAGCTAGTTGGCTCCATTTCTTTCAATTCTTCATAAAACTGGCTCACTTGCATTTGAAAATAGGATCTGTATGACATGTAATTGAAAAATGGGTTTTCAATACCAATGAGGGAATTATATTTGTTGAAGAAGATATAATAATGGTGAAATGGATACCTGCGCATATTTTCTTTTTTCATTATTTAAAAAAGACAAATAAAAGTGTAATATTGACTAATCTAATTTCATTTGTGTTTTCTAATAAAAATGAGTAAGAGATTCGTATATATACAGAATAACCTGAGAGAAGTAAAGTGAAAAACTCACAGCGACCTCACGTGACCTCCCATCGTGACACTCGTTCGAGCTATGTCCTTTTTCGTAAATCGCCTTTCCAACTAAGTCCATTTTCTTAACCTATAATTCTAAAATGCGGCCTAAAAGAAATACGGCAAAGAGTATATACTCATATTAGTGCAAAATGGTTGCCCAAGAACTTTGCATTTCTGAAGGAAATTAAAATATTTTTAAATTTTCTATGAATATTTCTGAAAATAATGGGAATTTTCGGAAAACATGATGATGATATTTGAATATGAAATCAATTTTCAAATGAATATGCATTGCAAAAAGTTGTCCAACTATCTCTGAGTATCCACTTTAATGTAAGTACTACATAAGGTGATCCAAAATTTGACCAACATATTCAGAGAGGTGATATAAAGATTAACCAGGTGATCGCAAATTGCGAGGGTGAAAATCGCAAAACTTCCTGCAAGTTCTGATAGCACGCTGACAAAAATACTTTCAAAGGTACTAAGAAATTTCTTTTAGGAATTTATATTAGTGCCCAATGGCGTCCTCTGATATCATATATAATCTACAACGAATTAAAAACGATTCCTAAAAATGGAATCATAAAGATAACGTAAGATTTCATCCTACTGAAAGATAAGCAGCCTTTTTTTTACCATAGTAAATGCAATTTCCAAATGCTAAAAAGAATAGGAAGAAGTAAAGCGACGTTGCGACAGATTTAGCGTTACCCAGGGTGCATCACGAGGAGGCCTGTCGCATTACACCCCATGTTTTTTTTTTTTTTTTTTTTTTTTTTTTTTTTTTTTTTTTTTTTTTTTTTTTTTTTTTTTTTTTNTTTTTTTTTTTTTTTTTTTTTTTTTTTTTTTTTTTTTTTTTTTTTTTTTTTTGGCAAAATATATCAAGAATTTTTTTCTATTTTTTTTCATAATTTATTATACGCATTAAAAACAAATTTTCTGAAGTAGTCTTTTTCTTTCTCTTTTTTTTTTGCAAAATATAACAAGAATTTTTTTTCATTTCTACGTATTGCCAAAAAATTTTCTTTGAAGTTTTTTTTTTTAAAGACATTTTTGATTTATTAGGTTGTTTATGAAAATGCTCAAATATGGTATTGTCAAAGCATTTCAATATTCCTAACAACATAAATTTCTTGAGAACTTTCGGAATTCCTTGTACCTTTTGTGCTTTTCTTTATATTGTGCATTCAGCCAATCTTTCTTAAACATATCAACAAAGGCTTTTCTGTAAAAATAATTAACTCACATAAATTTTAATTGCCTCGAACANTTCTATTTCTTTTTCATAATTTATTATACGCATTAAAAACAAATTTTTCTGAAGTAGTATTTTTTTTTTTTCGAAATATAACAAGAATTTTTTTTCATTTCTACGTATTGCCAAAAATTTTTTTTTGAAGTTCTTTTTTTTTAAAGACATTTTTTATTTGGTTGGTTGTTTGTGAAAATGCTCAAATATGGTATGGTCAAAGCATTTTTCAATATTTCCTAACAACATAAATTTCTTGAGAACTTTCGGAATTCCTTGTACCTTTTATGCTTTTCTTTATAGTGTGCATTCAGCCAATCTTTCTTAAACATATCAACAAAGGCTTTTCTGTAAAAATAATTAAATTACATGAATTTATTTGCCCCGCAACAAGTTTTGTTATCAAAAATTCAATCACATTAAAAAATAAATTATTGTTATAAATAATTTAATATTGTTATAAATAATATAATAGTCCGAGTCATCAACCAGGATCAAAAATTTAAAAGAGGAAATGAAGCCGCGGAATCAGACAAATTAGGAACTGTTTCTTATTATAATAAGTCTTAATAATTTGTAATTTACAGGAGAAAGTGTAAAGCCATGTATGTTATATCTCTTATAATTTTACCGCTATTATTATGTGTCTCAACGAATTTGACAATCAGGAAAACAATCATTTAAAATAACTTAATAAAATGCTTTCCCTCATAGTTAAATTCATAATTGTCTATTCATAATTTAATTACATTATGCATTGCATTAATATTGTATTTATGATTCAGAGCAACAAAAAAAATAACGTTTCTCAACAAAAACGTGACCATTTTTTTTAAAAAGCATGTTTTTCAAAATGTGTTTATGGATTGTATAAACATTGATCAATAGTGCATTACTTCCCTTCATAAGAAAACTGCAGTGTAGGCCATCTCCTGAGTTATTGAACAATAAATAATTAGATGAAAAATTTTAATTGTTTTTAAAATTGAGATTTGGGCCTAATATGAATGTCATAAGTTCGTCCTTCCCGCCAGAGGAAATTTAGCCGCCATCTTGAATTTGTTTGTGGCAAGGAGTCAAAAGGGATAAAGCTTAATCATTATTGGCAGAAGACATTTTTTTTTAAAAATTTTCATATTAAAATCAAACGGATTCCAGATCAAGTCAATAGGAATAATAAATCAGAAGTTTTTAGGAATTTAGTAGGTATTAAGTATAAGAGAGTACAATTTTCGATCTTACCTGTCTGTGCACAATTTTAGAAGAAGAACTTTTTAAACCAACCATACAAATTACTGATGGATTCAAAGAATCCTTCCTTCTTTTTTACTCTTTTTCTC